CATATTCTATCTACTTAAGGGGCCGAGAGGAGGGTGTTTCATATTGAGGGGAAAGGGATTCCTAGCCTCAGGAGTCCCACACCAAGAGTTGCCACCATTCCCTTGATAAAAGGGTTTTAGGTTTAGGGTCAAAGATGGTTTAAGGTCCCAAATTCTTACCAGGTTTTTCGGGGGCAAAAACACTTTGAACCTTCAAGGAATCCAATTTCATGAGCATTCGCGGGCCTCAACCGCCGCACTTTTGAAGTGAGCTTTTCACGGGCTATGGTCGTGGCACGCGCGTCTAGAAGCTCTCAACCCAAAGGACTGGCAAAGCTTCACCCGCATGTGGGGGCTTATCACAATATCCCCTTTCGAGTCCTTTTGGAATCGCTGTTTATCTGTGGGTCCGTAATGGGTAGCCATGGGTATGTTGAGAAACTCTCACCTTGCCAGCCGTGGCTCATGTGACGTTGGAGATTACAATCCGTTGGCATTCATCTTTTCGAAGAATACCCTCTCCCAAACGAACATCGAAACTCAAAAAATTCAAAGGGCTGCTATGGTCTTGTAAGGTTTTGGGGATCCGCGTAGAATTCTGTTGTTTGAGAATCTGCAACCCCTAGCACTGCAGAACCTAGAGTCGTCCCTGGAAACCTGCCTGCGAAAATTGGGGTAATGTACTGAGCTCACCTAGGGAAATGAGGGCCCGTCTCCCAAAAATCATGACCCCACCCTCAGCCCCTCAACTTTGAACCATCCAAAACACTGCTACACCTCGAAGCCTGCACTCAGATATCCCGAAACTCCACTCCTAAAACCTAAAACCCTGAACTTGCAAACATGAAGAACAAACCCTCACATTCTACTCTACTCCTAAGTACGTGCCTCTCCAATCTCTTGGAAATACATGGGTTTGAATCAGAAAGATGTGAACCCTGCTGTAGCCTTCGCATGGATCGAATGGTGTCATTCTCCACTACGGGATCCTCGGTATGTTTATAAGGTCAGGGTGTAGATTTTCCGGTAAGGATTACGGTTCGTGGCATGGAGATTGATTTTTCTTCGCCAACCTGTGTTTGTCATATGAAATACGAGCTAGGACTGAAAGTGTTATCTGGCGTGTATTGGTCCAAGGCCACGATGGCTCCAGAGAGCAATCCAACATCGGCTCTGCTTTGTTCTCTTGAACTCCAAACCTCCTAATTTCGTGTAATTCGTCCTCAAAGCCCTTAGTCCTCAATAACCCCTCAGTCTGAAATTTGTCGACACCTAGGGGGGTCGCACTAGAAAACTCAATATACTGTAACCTTATATACACGTATTATAGGGACTCCAGAAGAGACAGCACTAAAAAAGTTGAAGCCCTGAACCCTATACATCCCTCTATCATTCTTTTGATACTGCCACTATACTCCATAGAACCCCTGGAATCCTTGCCCGTAGGGCCCCTAAGCCCTCAACCGCTATTTCGTGACCCTCAAACCCTAAACCCTAGCCCTTGAAACCCTACACTTTAAACCCTAAATCCTAAACTGGAAACCTTTATCCTTTTTGGAGTCTGGGCTTAGGGTTCTGGGAAAAGTCTAGGATCGTCATACGCGCAGTTCCAAGGCTTCCGCAAGCTGAGGGTTTAGGGGTTAGGTTTTCGAGCTTAGGGCAAATGCAGGGTCCCTTCACATTCCCAGAACACGATGTGGTCCTTTCCAGAAGGACAGCGCCACCAAGCACTGAAAGCAACACTTGTGCAAAATTAGCGCCTTGCGCCTATGTACATGCAAAGACAGATCTTGCAGTCAACAACGCAACGGTCCATAGGTGGAATACACGTCGTGAAAACGAAAATGGCTCGGCTCAATGAACCATGTGTTTCAACAGCATTCCCCCAAGGATTTGGGATCATACCTGGAAGGTCGTGGGAGTTAGCACGTCGTTGACCACGGGTTCGAACTCGTAGAGCAGCGCGAAATTTCAACTCTGGAGATTTACTGGTTTGAGCCTCCTTCACCTGTTTCCTAGCCTCTTTTTACCCCTATGTCAGCCTCAAGGCCCCTGTCTCAAGCTTCAGAGTTCAACGGCCTGATTCTGGGAGGTAAATATGCCCTTGCACCACAAACGCATTCTAGCTCAGCTTTCTCCGAACAGTAAGGAACCAACTAAACTGCACGCGCATCAAGTTGAGCGAATTTAGTCTCAGTCAGCAGCGGACGACAACTTGTGGGTTTTTCGTCTTCAGTCGCTTCTTTACCTCCTCGAAAGCGACGGGCCGCCGAAGAAGGCCTCGTCACATGTTCCTTTGTGGGTTTTGATGTAATGGAACGTAACACTCTGTTCAACTTTGACGCAAAATAAACCTGCATGTGATTTCTCAGCTTTCTTGTGAGGTGTAGGCTGGCTCAGCCCTATGACCTTTTCAATCCAAAATCATTCAGGTTTGCTGGTAAGGAACTTATGAAAGTAAGAAATCATGGTAATCCAAAGAAACCTCTTACTTATGATTTCCCATCTCATGGTAACTTAGTTTAAGTGCCTTAACAGCAACCCAGTTTGCGCCAGCAAAGAGCCACCCTGACTGGCCTTCAAGGCGAGGCTGTTAGGTCCATACTTCCTCAGGTTCCGCGTGTAGGTTTGGGCTTAGGGTTTAAGCCCCAAATCAGGGATCCACAAGAAAGGTGTCACAAACATCCGACCCCTTTTCTGCTTTTCAAAATTCATGGAATTTGGCGCAATCGCCCAAGAAAAAGAACCATGCCTTCATATGGAGCCCACTGAACTCAATCCACATGCAATACCTTTGAAGCTCGTAGACCTGGGGTACTGGGTACGGGCAGCCCAGCTTCCTTAACCACCCCTTCCAAGAAGACCCTAAGCCCTAAACCCTAAACCGCCTGGGCACGCAGGGGACCCCTGCACCCATGGGCATCCCGGGGGAGTCTATTGAAGGTTAGGGTTTAAGGTTTAGGGTTTAGGGTCTGCCAGCGCAGCTGGCGCCCTTGTCAATTTCTGGCAAGAGGGGGCCTATGGCCTATACCGTAAAAACTGCAATCTGGGGTCCTTGTATACTGGTTTTATATAAGCCGAACTGACCCATACCCTACACCCTAAACCTCAAATCTTAGTTAGCACCCACCAGGTACCAGCTGAAACTTAATAATCAGGGTACCTTTTTTTTCTCCCTAAAACAAGGAGACCCCAAAACAAAAGGAAAAAAGGTACTACTGGGGTACCTAGCCTAGGAAACCAGTAAGGGCCCATGTCTGGGACCCCTTCGGCGTGATTGGGTTGAGGATTTCAGGGTGTAGGGTTTAGGGTTTGGGGCGGTTGAAGGGTTGAAGTTGAAGCCGTCCACAGGAGATTAGTTTCCGTAGTACTCTCATAAGGACTCCCATAACACCCTCAAACCTTCCCCATCCGTAATGTTTTTTTTTTTGCAGGATATGTCTGGAGAAGCTCCTACAACAACATGGTCGTATTTCAAATTCCTGCTCACCAAATGCCCATTGTGGAAATGAACGGAACATGTTTTCTTCCGTCTTTTTCTTTCGGACGTACCTTTAGCCTAAGTAGTTTCTCCAAAAGATCTTTTCCTAAACCCTAAACCCTAG